TCAAGCATCAACAAAACTCTTGTGATTGCCTTTAAAGCAGTTAAAAAAAACACACTAGCCTGGCACTGGTGGCTCACACCTGTAATCCTAGCTACTCAGGAGGCTGATATCTGAGGATCACAGTTCAAAGCCAGTCCAGTCAGGAAAGTCCATGAGACTTTTATCTCCAATTAACCACCAGAAAACCGGAAGTGGTGCTGTGGCTCAAGTGGTAGAGTGCTCACCTTGAGCTGAAGAGAGTTCAAGCCCATGACTGACCAAAAAAAAAAAAAAAAAAAACCCATCCCCTGAGTTCAAGCCCCAGGATTAGTTCATGAGGCACACGTGCACACGCGTGCACGCGCGCACGCGCACACACACACACACACACACACACACACACACACACAATAATAAATGTCAACGATCTCCTCCTTTTCCACTATCTATTTTATCCACCATATCTGGCTTTTTTTTTTTTGGGTCTGGTTGTGGGGGCTGAACTCTGGGCCTGGGTGCTGTCCCTGAGCTCTTCAGCTCAAGGCTAGTGCTCTACCATTTGAGCCACAGCGCCACTTCCAGCTTTTTTTTTTCTGCTTATGTGGTGCTGAGGAATTGAACCCAGGGCCTCATGCATGCAAGGCAAGCACTCTACCACTGAGTCACCTTCCCAGCCCCATATCTGTCTTTGATCATTCTTGGCTACTTTTAAGTAAAAACCACTATTAGCCATGCACCGGTGGCTCAAGCCTGTATTCCTAGCTACTCAGGAGGCTGAGATCTGGGGATCGTGGTTCAAAGCCAGCCCGGGCAGGAAAGTCAATGAGATTCTTATCTCCAATGAACCACCAGAAAACCGGAAGTGGTGCTGTGGCTCAAGCGGTAGAGTAAGCTTGCCTTGAGCTGAAGAGCTCAGGGACAGAGCCCAGGCCCAGAGTTCAAGTCCCACAACCAACAACAACCACCACAAAAAGTAAAAAAACCTCCATTAGCCAGGTGCCGGTAGCTCACACCTGTATTCCTAGCTACTCAGGAGGCTGAGATCTGAGAATGGAGGTTCAAAGCCAGCCCAGGCAGGAAAGTCTCTGAGACTCATGCCCCAAAACACCGGAAGTGGAGCCATGACTCAACTGGTTGAATGCTAGCCTTGAGAAAAAAAAATGTTCAAGGCAGTATCCAGGCCCTGATTTCAAACCCCAGGATTGACACAATACACATACACACACACACACACACACACACACACACACACACACACATACACACACACACACCCCACAAATCACAAAGTTTCCTGAACTTAAAAAGTTTGCTAGTATTTGGGGCTGAGAAGGTGGCTCAGTGGTAGAGCGCTTGCTTTGCATGCATGAGGCCCTGGGGTTCGATTTCTCAGCACCACATGAGCAGCAGAAAAAAAAAAGCCCGAAGTGGCACTGTGGCTCAAGTGATAGAGTGCTAGCCTTGAGCTGAAGAGCTGAGGGACAGTGCTCAGGCCCAGAGTTTAGGCCCCATAACCGGACCCCAAAAAACAAAAAGTTTGCTAGTAATTGTCCTACCTGTCCTAGCCCTAAAAATTATTTTAGATTTGAGTAAGACTTTTATTCTATAAGGCAGGGCATGGCATTAAAAATCTTATTCAGGGCTAGGAATGTGACTTTTTTGGTAGAGTGCTTGCCTAGCATTCATGAAGCACTGGGTTCGATTCCTCAGTGCCACATAAACAGAAAAACGCCAGAAGTGGCACTGTGGCTCAAGTGGTAGAGTTCTAGCTTTGAGCAAAAAGAAGCTCAGGGTCAATACCCAGACCCTGAATTCAAGCCCCAGGATTGAAAACAAAAAGCAAAAAACTTATTCAAAGGGTAAAAGTTTTTGCTCAAAGGTAGGGAAAATTCCATGGTCTATGGCTTATTTTTCAAAACTATTAGTTGCTATCACATTTGTATTTATATTTCAAAAAAAATCAAACTACTGCTCATAAGTTCTTACAAAAGAAACAAAATCAGACACTGGCTGGCTCATACCTATAATCTTAGCTACTCATGAAGCTGAGATTTGAGGATTGTGGTTAGAAACTAGCTCAGGTGGAAAAGTCAGATTCCCTTTAATCTTAAAAGGAGTGTAGAGTTGGCCTGCAGTTAGGGTATTAAGGCTTATACAGTTTGCAGATGGCAGGATAAACCGAGAAACCAAAACCTGCCAGACAACAAAATGGAGGGATAGGGGTATCAAAAAAGAATGGAGAAGTAAAAGGAGCAAAAGAATGAGGAAGTAGGGACAAGACAGTAAATCTTTGGTGTCCCAATCTTATAGGAAACAGAAAATTGATCCGCTGATCAACCATTCAAATTGAGTTGGCTGGTTTTATTGTTTGTTTTGTTTTCATTTGTAGGGGTACTGGGGCTTGAACTCAGGGCCTGGATGCTGTCCCTAGGCTTTTGTGCTCAAGGGACCTTACCACTTGAGCCACAGTTCCTATGCTGGTGGGCTATTATTATTGTTGTTGTTATTGCTTTGGTGGTTAATTGGAAATAAGAATCTCAAAAAAAAAAAAAAAAGGGTTCTGAGGCATGGCTTTGTTGGTGTAATACTAGCCAGTGAGCAGTAGTGTGAGGTACTGAGTTTGAATCCTATCTCAGACCTTAAAAAACAAACAAACAAACAAAAAGCTCATAGACTTCTCTACCTGAACTGGCTTGGACCTAGATCCTCCGATCTTAGCCTCCTGAGCTGCTAGGATTATAAGCCTGATCCACCAGCACCCACCCTGGCTGTTTTTGTGGTGTTGTTTTTTTTAAACTTTGTTCTAGTTCATTCCTTTTTAAAATATATAAATATATATTACATAAAACAAAAATTAGTCTTCCAAATTATTTTTTTTCTTTTTTTTTAATTTAATTTAATTTTTTTTTGTGAACATACTGTACAGAGGGGTTACAATTACATGGGCAGGATAATGCGTACATTTCTTATCAAGCATTGCAGCCTTCTCCTTTGTTTACCCTTCACATCCCTTCCCTACCTCCCCTCTACCCCCCACCACCCAATCTTCCCCTCTCCTTCTCCCCCTCCCCCCCCCCCCCCACAAACGTTGTAAAGCTCATTTTCGACATGACAACTTGTACTTCTCATTGTTGCAACAGGTCCACCTGTATCCTTAAACGACTTGTTTTTCCCCATCTCCTCCACAAGTTATACTGACATCAAATATAGTGAAAGCAGGGGTTATACTGTGGGGGAGGGACATACAAAGCAACAAAGAGATAATCTTATAATTGCGTTAGAAACAAATGCATGAAATAAAAAAGCATTAAAATACATATCTAAGGGTTCATTTTCCTAACATCACATTATCTGACCTTTTCCGCTTGACTCATACATATACTAGATATTCCAAATTATTTTCTATACAGATTCAACTGAGGGCGTCACAGCCACTAAACAGGTGCTCTAACACTTTAGTCAGCCCTAAAACTAGTCTTTATTTTTTGCCTGTCCTGGGGCTTGAACTCAGGGCCTGGAGCTGTCCCTAAACTATTTTACCACATGAGTCTTGGGAAATATGTTCCAAACTATAGCAGTCCCCATTGCCTACAAAGCTAAGTTGAAACTCCTTAAAAGTCTGGCTTATCAAATGATTAGCCATCTGACCCTACTTGATCTTACCAATATCATCTCCAGTCTTTCTGCCCCATCCCATCCCCCATTTCTCCACCTTCTCCAGCTTCTGTTGACAATCCTGGGCCTTGACCCATGTTGTTTATTCTCTCTAGACTATCTGCCCTCTCTTCTCCGATGGGTAAGTTCTTATTCATCAATTACAGCTCAGTAACCTGTCACCTCCCTGCTGAAGACTTCCCTGAGTCATTAAGAAAGACTTAGTCATTCTGTGTTCCCATAGCCCTTTGGCCTTTCCTTTGGCTGTGCTCATTGTTCACATTCTGACCACAGAGCCTCGTGAATACCTTCCCTGTTAGCCAATTTTTAGCCACATGAATTCCATTTTTCTGAAGTAGAACATAGAGAACCAAAATTTTTCTTGTAGTCAGGAAAGAGTTAAATGATCCAAGTTCTTCCAATTAGATGTACCTAATTAGATGTACCTTTTTTTTTTTTAACCAGTTCTAGGGCTTGAATTCAGTGCTTGGGCACCATCCCTGAGCTTTTATGTTCAAGACTAGCAGCCTACCAACATGAATCACAGCACCACTTCAGGCTTTTGGGTGGTTAATTGGAGTATCATGGACTTTTCTGCTTGCACTGGTTTTGAACCACAAAACTCAGATCTCAGTCTCCTGAGTAGTGAGGATTAAAGGAATGTGCGATAGGCATGTACCACCAGCACTAGGCCACAGAATTTTCTTTATCCCCCAGAACTGAAATTGAGTTTTTAGACCCTATTTTTTTTTTAAAAAAAAAAAACAAGTTTATTTAAACAACAAAATGCTTGACTTGAAGGGAAAACTATCTAGGATTCTTTTTTTTTTTTTAAGAGTAATTTACCCCTACTTAAAGACAGATTGCCCTACATGTAACAGCTACATACAAAAAAGTTATAAAATTGTCCTTGGTTTTACAATGATAAATGAAAACATTAAAATTCTCCAATCAAACAAGGTATGAAAGGATTTTTGTTTTTTTTTTTCTTTTGTTAAAACAGTGAGAGCAAAATAACTAACTGAAATATAAAGATAAAAGCTGAATGAGCATGCCACGAATGGAGAAGGTGGATATTTTCACAGGGCCAGTATTTTTCCCAATTCCATCTCCATTTGATGTCAATCAAAATATACCATTGGCCATTTAGTTTAAAAGAAAAAGAAAAAAGAAAAGCAATATGGTTGTGCGCATACACCAGTTACTTTATGTACAATAAAGGAATGGGGAAGGGGAAAATGAAAGAATAGAGAAAACTATACTGTAGTAGTCAGGATGTGGTGGAACCAAATTGCAGTTTTCTAATTAAGTATGTATTCTTGGTCTATAAGAACAAAGTTCTGGAGCAAAGTAGCAGGTTCCCTTTTTTAGCAGACACCTCCTGTCTGCTGCGGGAACTCCTCAATTGTATCTCCATCCTCCATTTCTAACCTTGCAGGTGTGTCTGGGTCATCGATTGGCTGCCCATCAAATCGGAATCTGACCTGCCTCATTGACAAACCCTGTCGTTCACAGTAGGCTTTCATTAGTTTACTAAGTGTTGTATGCCTCTTCATCTTAAACTGCCCCACAGAACCATCCTGCCCCGCCACCTTCAAATTAATATGATCGTTGTTCTCAGTCTTGACTCCTTCCTTGGGCTTTTCGTCGACCATCGCGAGCCCCAGAGTCTCCTCAGATGCCGCTTCACAAAAGAGGTCCCCCGTCCGCACCAAACGAGCACACCTAGACCCCATTCTAAACCCCAAAGTCCAGCAGTCCCAAGTTAGATCTGGCAATTTACCCCATATGCCAAACAGAGAGACATGATGAAGGGTAGAAAATTTATTACATGGTAGCCAATGGGAAGATAACACTTAAGTGCATCTTGAGCTATCTTCAGAGGTCTAGACATTGGCTTCAGTTTTAAAAAGGGAGAACTGGAAAGAGAGGGTAATTAAGGTATGTATAATTAATGTCATAGATATGACCTGGATTGCCTTGAGCTCAATCTTCATCTCTGGAGGGAGTTCCAGAAAAGTTATCTTTTTATTACTGGAACAAAGCAGGAACAAGGTGGTCTCCCAAGTTCTTGGCTGTTTGCTTTAAGATGACTAGAAGAACACATTGCTTATTTGAGAGGCAGTTTGCCTTCTACATAAGATGCTTATCTGAATCTTTCTGCCTACAAACAAGGTGATTTCAAAGGGTACAGATCAAATGACACAGATGCAAATTTGTTTTTGTTTTTTTTTTTAGTTCATTCACAGGACCTAGGAAAATGATCTTTTAAATTGCCTCTTACATGTGCCCAGGATGGCATTGGACCTGGATTCTCAGATCTCAGCATCTTGAGTAGCTAAGATTACAGGCATGGGCTCCTGGAACCCAGCTCAAATTTCTAAAGTAAACACTATTCTCAGTGTTAAAAGGGCATTAAATACCTTTTTTGTACATGTCCATCTTACATATGTGATGGCAGTAGAATACATAAATATGAAATAATTAGTTACATCCATACTACTCATTAGAAATTCTATCTATATTTGGTACTTGGAAATCCATCTATTTTACCAAATAAAAATTCTGAATGCAAAGCTCAAAAAAAATCAAAACTATCAAAAAAAGTTGCCTATACAAAACTACTACCAGGAGAGTGAGACAGCAGACCATTTATTGAGACCTGTCTGGACAGGCCTTGGGCTTTAGGGTGGCCAGTAGCAGAACCGCTGGTAAGTACTAGATGAAGTAGAATCGATGAAGGTGGTATTTGCCTGACCGGTTTCTGGGATGGCTGGAATATTTGGGCTTCAGAGTTTGCCTCCTAATTTCTGTAAACAGTTCACGAACCACCTAATGTCTTTTAATAGATAATGAAACAAGAAGTCAAATGATTGCTTAAACAAGTCTCAGGATTCCTCTTGAAACTCCTTTCCAGATGATGAAATTTTGCTCTTTTCTTTCTTTCTTTTTTTGGTCAGTCATGGGACCTGAACTCGGCCTGGGCGCTTTCCCTCAGCTCTTCAGCTGAAGGCTAGCACTCTACCTCTTGAGTGTCAGCCCCACTTCCGGTTTTTTTTTTTTTTTTTTTTTGCTTATGTGGTGCTGAGGAATCGAACCCAGGCCCTCAGGCATGCAAGGCAAGCGCTCTACCACTGAGCCACCTTCCCAGCCCCATTGCACTTTTCTTATAGAGCTTTTCTTTTCTTTCAAACAAACTCTTTCTTACTAAGCATTTGTGAGGGTAGTGAGGGAGACAAAAACCAAGTCTGAATAGGTCTGTTTTTATATTGACTGAAAAAGAATGACTGAAATACCTTGGTTAGAACACTTGCCAAATTTTATATCCATGTCTGCTTAAATATCTGACTCCTTTGCCAGATTACTCTGGAGTACTATGTTTCCTCTTCTATAAGCAGTTCTAACCTATTTTGTTTTGTCAAGATAATGTCTTACTGGATAGCCCAGGCTGGTGTCAAACTCATGATCCTCCTGAGCCAGCCTTCCATGTGCTCAGATCATAAGCCTGCACTACCATGGCAGGCTTAAGTCTAATTATTGAATGATTTATATTGCAGATGCCTTCCTGGTGCCTTTTAGTGCTAGTCAGTGCACTGTGCTAGTCATCAGGAGTTGAATAGTGGCAAAAAGACATGTGACTTTTGCTCTTAGAAAATATACAGTCAAGCTGAGCACCAGTGGCTCATGCCTGTAATCCTAGCTACTCAGGAGACTCAGATCTGAGGATCTCGGTTTGAAGCCAGCCCAGGTAGGAACGTCCATGAGACTCTTATCTCCAATTAACCACCAGAAAACTGGAAGTGGCACTGTGACTCAAGTGGTAGAGTGCTTGCTTTGAGCTGAAGAGCTGAGGGACAGTGTCTAGGCCCAGAGTTCAAGCCCCATTACTGACACACATAAAAAAAGAAAATATGTAGTCAGAAAGATCAGTGCCTGGGCTGGGAAAGTGGCTCAGTGGTACAGTGCTTGCCTTGCATGCCTGAGGCCCTGGGTTTGATTCCTCAGCACCACATAAGCAAAAAGAAAAAAGCCAGAAGTGGCGCTGTGGCTCAAGTGGTAGAGTGCTAGCCTTGAGCTGAAGAGCTGAAGGATAGCGCCCAGGCCCAGAGTTCAGGCCCCATGACTAGACTCAAAAAAAAAAAAAGGAAGATCAGTTCCTTAAATATTCTAGATTCTAACTGGGTTAGTAGCACCAATTTGTCTGATTGATTAATTGAATTAATGGAAATTCATTGTCTTTCCAGTAGAAATAAAGCTGATATTGACTCGTGGCTAGCGCTCTACCACTTTAGCCACAGCTCCACTTCCAGCTTCTTTTGGTCGTTGGTTGGAGATAAGTCTCAAGGACTTTCCTGCTGGGGGTTTGACTTTGAAACAAGATCCTCAGATCTCAGCCTCCTGAGGTGCTGGGATTTCAGGTGTGAACCACTGACCCCCGAATGCGCTACATTTTTTTTAAACCCTTTTATGCTTTATGAGACTTGCGAATCCAGATTAATTATTCAGACTCTTGAGAAAAGGTAAGCTGGCACTGGTGTTTACGAAAAGGAACAGAAGCTACCAGCAGATGACATTGGTTAAAGTCTCCAAAACACGAGTGGAAGAGCCAAGCTGCCTGACCAGGAGATACGCCTCATCCATCCTTCTGCCACTGGGGTACGTGGCTAAGCAGTCATTCATCCTGCCAACCCGACACCAGTCAAGAATGACCAAAAATTCTTCAGGAGGGCGACTAATGGGCAATGACACCAGAGGCATTTTGGAAACCGGACAGCTAGCTCTGGCTCCCGGCCCTGAACGGACGCAGGGGAGCGCGGTTCCCAGAGTGACCAGCAGGTGTCGCTGCCGCGCAGCCGGGCCCGGGGGACCTGTCGGCCTTACCTGGGCTCGCTGCGCGCGCGTCTCACCTGGGCACCGTGCAGCGGGCGCCGCGCGGAGGCGCAGTGTGTGGATCCCGCGCTCTCCTTAGCCCAGGGCGCCCCTATTGCTGGGCTGCTCCTGAGCCCGGTCTTAGTGCTTTACCCCGGGGCGGTCGCCCGCACCGGCAGGCAGGGGGCGGGGTCCCGCCGCGCGCCGAGGAGGGCGGGCGAGTTTGCGCCCAGGTGTGTGGCTGCAACCCGGGCTGGGCCAGGTGCAGGCGCACACGGCGCCCCAGCAGCCGCGAGAGGAGGTCGACGAGAAGATGCCGCTGTCGCCGCCACCTCAAGGCGATCCCAGGGAGCCCAGCCCGTCCAAGGCCCCCAAGAAACACGGCTCCTTCCATCTCTGGCGCCCCAAAAAGAAGCAGCCGCCTCCGCTGTCTCAGTGCGGAGTGTTCGTTCCGCACCCGGCGCCCGTCGGCGAGGCCAGGTAAGCCGGCCGAGCCCCGCGATCTCACCTCCTCCGCCCCTTGGCTTCCCCGGCCGCTCCGAGCGCCCGGGTCGGCTGAGGGTGCCTTCACCGCGGACGAGTCCCGGTCTGGATATTCTCCCTCCGCTAATCTCAACCCGAGGAGGAGGAGGAAGTGGCAAGGGTCAGGTTAACCCCCCCCCCCCCCTCCGCCTCCTCCGCCCCGGTCTATGGTGGAGAAACTGGGACCGAAGGGTAAATGTCTCGGTTGGAGTCCGAGACAAAAGTAGTTAACGTGTAACTGGTTTTTAATTTTGCATAGATTTTTGTGGTGGTTTTATTCTATGGGTGGACTTCATTATTCAGTTACTCTACCACAGTTGATGCATTACTTGAACAATCATCAATTGTGTGGTCTGGAGGTGTAAAATATTTTTAGTAGTGGGCATTTGACAGTGCCCGGTAGATCCTTCCATAAGTGTTTTTAAACCACACCCTTAGGGACAATAAGGGCCGGAATAAAATTGCACAAAACTTGCATTTTGGACACATTTTTCTTTTTTTTTCTCTTTTTGTCGGTCATGGGGCTTCAACTCTAGGCCTGGGCGCTGTCCCTCAGCTCTTCAGCTCCAGGCGAGTGCTCTACCACTTGAGCCACAGTGCCACTTTTGACTTTCTGATAGTTTATTGGAGATAAGAGTCTCACAGACTTTCCTGCCCAGGCTGGCTTTGAACCAATCCTCAGATCTCAGCCTCCTGAGTAGCTAAGATTATAGTTGTGAGCCACCAGCACCCGGCTTTTCTTTTATTTCTAAAATAGTCTTAATTTTGTAACCTACGAAGATCCACTTAATACAATTTTTTATTGAGGACAGTAAGTACTAAGCACTAGCCAGCAAAGTTGACCACGGTGTGACATTGCCTGTTGTCCCAGCACCATTCAGGAGGCTAGACAGGAGAATGGCTTGAGTCAGGAGCTCTAGGATTTACTTCCTTCTTTCTTTTCTTTCTTTCTGTTGCTTTCTTTCTTTCTTTCTTTCTCTCTCTCTCTCTCTCTCTTTCTTTCTTTCTTTTTCCTTCCTTCCTTCCTTCTTTCTTCCTTTCTTTCCTTCTTTCTTTCTTTCTCCATGGGGCCTGGGGCTCTTGGTTACCTTTTTCTATCAAAGCTGGTGCTCTAGCACTTGAACCATAGCCTCATTTCTAGTTTCTTGCTGGTTGGAGATAGGAGTCTAAGGACTTTTCTGCCTAAGCTAGCTTTGAACTAGGGTCCTAAGTTCCCAACAGAGGGACACCATGAGCATCACTAACACTGGGAAGAACATGGCACTTTTGAAGAAGATTGACTAGCTCAGAGCTCGATGAGCCTGTGTGAGGGCTTGGAGAAGTGCTAGGAGAGAAGACACTCAAATTGTCTCTTATCTACCATAGTGGTAAATAGTTGTAACAGAACATACATCGCTCTATCTAAACACTTAAGGTGCTTAATTATACACTGAAATTTCCAACAAAGTATAGAACTTCAAAATGAGGTATCCAAGGGCTGGGGATATGGCTCAGATAGTAGAGTAACTGCTTTGAAGGTACAAGACTCTGATTTCAATCCTAGTACTACCAAATAAGTAAGTAAGTAAATAAATAAATAAGGTATCTAACCATGAAATGCCTTTACCATTGCTTAAGTAAAAGATATTTTAGGGCCTGGCACCAGTAGCTCATGCCTGTAGTCCTAGCTACTCAGTAAGCTGAGATTAGGATCCTGGTTCAAAGCCAGCCTAGTCAGGAAAATCCATGAGATTCATACCTCCAACTAACTACAGATCATGCACGCGCGCGCATGTGCACATGTGTGTGCGTACGCACGCACGCACACATGCACACGCGTACACACGTACACAGGAGCCCACAGTTTTAGATACTTTTGTGTTTTCCTTATCTGACCTAATCTCATCATTTCTCTTCTATCAAATCTAACAGCACACATACAGATGTACGTTAGCTCAACCTTGAAGCACCTCATTCTTTCCTTCAGAACTGTTATGAACTTAGTGCTAACAAATGTTCTGAGAAGCTAGATGCACTGGCAGTCTTTGGGATGTCTTTCTAGCTAGATCATCTTTACATCTATTTTACGTATTTCTGAGAGAGCATACCTGTGGCTGAATCTCATTACGATTTCTGGTCAATCTTTGGTCCATGTGGCTTGGAACCATGATCCTCAGAACTCAGCCTCCTGAGTAGCCAGGATGACAGGCATGAGCCACCGGTGCCTGGCAAATGCAGGTTAATATGCTGTTACTTTTCACAGAAAGAGTTGCTATCCCCCTGGGCCTACCTTTGTCCAATTATTCTCTTGTCATCAGGCCACCAGTGGGGAGTGTGTGTACAGAGGGTGTGGTGAACCCTACCGCCAGGTCCCTTCACAGTCATGACTGTTATTTCTTAGGTTTTTAAATAATACTTCCAGTTTGTAAACAGGGCTACAGAGCAGGGATTCTCTATGTGCGTTTCTATCCCTGTTCTTCCACTTACTGTGACACTCAGTTCTGTCATGCTGGGCAGGTTAGTAACCTTTTTGTGGCACAATTTCCTCATTCACCAAATGTGAATAATAAGAGATGTGATACAAATAAGCATATTCATGCACATCAAGCACACAACACAGCATGAGCAGTGGCACCTGCTCAGTCTCCATCAGTGGATGTGATTTCTCTTTTTGTATGTATATCTTGCTTATTCTTCTACCTTAGCCTACCTCAGCCTCCATGCTGGGTTTATAGGTGTGCACCACCATGCCTGACAGGGCAGTCATTTTATGTATTTCTTTCCTGCTATGTGGTGGGAATGTTTTATTTCCAAAGCACTCTATGCTGTTTTGGTTAGAACTGGGCTGTGAAGGCTGGGTTCAGAGCACTTGCCTAGCATGTGTGAGGTTTGTTCCAGGCTTGAGCACTAGTACTGAGGAGAAAAAAAAGATAAAGGGAAATAAGCTTTTAGGTAAAAGTCAGATGCATTGAATTTTCTTTCTTTTTCATTTTTACCTGCCTATACTGGTGCTGGAACTCAGGGGCTCATGCTCTTGCTTAACATTTTTCTCAGCATTTTTGCTCTGCCACTTTAGGCAGATCTTCCCTTCTGGCTTTTTTTTTTTTCCTTCCTTTGGTTGTGGGGCTTGAACTCTGGGCCTGGGCGCTGCCCCTGAGCTCTTCAGTTCCAGGTGAGCACTCTACCACTTGAGCCACGGTACCACTTCTGATTTTTTGGCGGTTAATTGGAGATAAGAGTCTCACAGTTTTCCCTGCCTGTGCTAGCTTTGAACCATGATCCTCGCATCTCAGCCGCCTGAGTAGCTAGGATTTCAGGCATGAGCTACCAGCACCCAGCCCCTTCTGGCTTTTTGCTGGTAAATTGGACTTAAAAGTTTCTTGGATTTGTATGCCTGTAATTGTAGCAACTTGGGAGACTGAGATCGGAAGATCTAGGTTCAAAGCCAGCTTGGGCAGAAAAGTCTGTGAGACTCTTAACATAACTAACCAGCTGAAAGCCAGAAGTGAACCCAAGTCCCAAAGGTCCCTTAAGTGTCTCCAAGCCAGTCACTAGTGGCCCGTGCTTATCATCCTAGCTACCCAGGAGCCTAAGATCTGAGGATTGTAGTGGGGAGGGGCAGTGAGACAGCTCAGTGAAAATGTAAAAGATTTTATTGAGCGAAAAGTGCTGACCAAGACCAAAAGTGCTCCAGGACCGCACCTGGAGTTGGGATCCCAGGAAATGGCCCGAGTGCCAGCCCATATGGGCTTTTAAGCATTTTGGGCTAGGGTAGAGAAAGGGGAAGGCTGGGTGTTGGTTTTAGCCAATGATTGTTACAAGAAATGCACACCTTAAGTTTAAATTTCCCACCAACGTTTTGCTTGTGGGAAGCAGGGGAATAGAACAAAGGGTGGTGATGGTCCGCTGGGTTAGGGCTCCCATTGCTCAAAAAACAGCAGAAGCAGAGTTACAGAGTTACCATTACAGTTACTAGCTAAAGTTATGAGCTACCAGGGAAGTCTTATCCACAGCACCCTTACGTTTATATCTTAAAATCATTCATTATCCATTTTACACAATCCAAGTCAAATATCATATTCCATCTTTATGTCCTCCACCATATCAAGGATCACAGTTCAAAGTCAGTCTGGTACATCTGTAGATGCCACAGAAAAATAAAATGCAGAATTAGGAAATATCAGCCTTTTCTTTTCTTTTCAAGCTAGTCTTGGGGCTTGAATTCTGGGCTTGGGACTGTCACTGAGCTTCTTTGACTCAAGGCTAGCTCTCTACCACTTGAGCCACAGCACTTCTGGCTTTTTCTGCATAGTTTATTGAGTAGAAGAGTCTCATGGACTTTCCTGCTAGGGCTGGATTTGACCATGATCCCCAGATCTCAGCCTCCTGAGTAGCTAGAATATAGGCATCGGCTACCATCTGTACTTGGCTGGAAATCCTATTTTTAACCTTCCTTTAGACAGTAATTAAAATGAGTGGGAGTAAGTTGATTTTAAGCTTGGAAAAATACTTGGTGGCAAAGAAAGTTGGCCACTGGCTGTATTTATTATTGTTGTGTGTCATTTCCCACCAGCAATCCTGAGTGTCAGTCATCAGAAATTACGATTATGGTGTCCCAAAGTCAGTTACCAGCAGCTCAAGCAAGAGATCTGAATGATTACTTAAAAACACTATGCATAATGCTCCTCTTAATGTTCTGGAATTTGTTACTAAACAGTTGCAACACTTCTGGCAGTCCCTCTCTAGGTATTTTGTAGTTGGGGTGCAGGATCACAATTATATATAATACATAAGCAAATAGAAAGAGCATGTGTTTTTTTGTTTTTTGGTTTTTTTTTTTTGTCTGCTGTGGGGCTTGAACTCTGGGCCTGGGCGCTGTCCCTCAGCTCTTCAGCTCAAGGTGAGCACTCTACCACTTGAGCTACAGTGCCATTTCCGGTTTTTTGGTGGGTTATTGGAGATAAGAGTTTCACGGCCTT